AAATAATTGCTGATTGGTCTCATGTCTGCAGAGTACAGTTTCCTGCTAGTAATTTCTGTCTCTTCCTCTGTAACATATCCTCCAATGTCTGCCTAAGCCAGGAAATCTCAAAATACTCCCGTTTTATTTGGACTCTTTACAGGAAAAGAACCTTAGGACCTATTCAATGTTGGAATTGGGCACAACAGACCTGGTGGACACCCCATGACAAAGATGCTATAGAGACTGATCATTTCAAAGAAAACTATTCAACTTAGTCTTCTTAAAGAAAATATATAGCCGAAAATTTGAAAAGAACTTCTATGCACCAGCTAAAATTTTACTCCTGCTATAGGCCTAAAAATCTTAAGTATGGAATACATTTTTCTGTAAAGTCTTCATACACAAAATTTCAAAATAAGAGTCTTTTCCAACTGGTGAAGAGGGACCCTCCAGAGAGATTTGCTTCATAACCATGTCTCCCTTGGTTTCAGATAAACTCTACTGTGTATCTAGGACCCTTTTCCTTTATTCCTGGTTCTTTGGATCAGTGATTTTTTTTTTAATGTAGGCCGAAAAAAAGATAATGTGAAATCTCTTTCTTAACCAAAAAGGGTGATCCCTCTCCCAGTCCTCAAGCACAGATATCTCAAGAGCTATTCCTTCCCTGCTTTAAAGAAACAGGAAGGTTTAATGTGCACATGTGAGACAATGAATTGCTAATTCAAATGGCACATTATTGATTCTAATTATATTCTCTTTTCAGAGAGGGGATGAGTTCTGTCATTTCATTTTTAATTAGAAAGTGACTCACAATTTTTTAAAAATTAAGTAGAATATTGATCCCTGTGCTTTGCCGCTCCACTTGGGCACAATTTCTCAGAGTGAGAGTCAGGCCTTTGCAATTCAGAGTTCTAGGGATATACTGAAAAGCTAATAAATGTTTACTGAATGAACAAATGAATGAAGCATTGTATCAAAGGAGCAGGTTTGAATAAGATAGAAATACCCTCTGATATAACTCAGTTGGTAGAGTGCTGGCCTCACATGCACAAGGCCATAAATTCAATGCCAGCACCAAGAGAGAGAGAGAGAAAGAGAGAGAGAGAGAAATGCACTTTGATACAAAGTTTATTCCCCAGGGTGAATAAATAGTTAATGGAGCTGGTAGCAGTGGCTCAAACGTGTAATCCCAACTACTGCTCAGGAGGCTGAGACAGGAGGATCATGAGTTCAAAGTGAGGCATTAAGCAATTCTGCGGGACCCTGTCTCTAAATAAAATACAAAATAGGACTGGGGATGATGCAGCTCAGTGGTGGAGTGCCCCTGAGCTTAATCCCTGTACTCTCCCCCCAAAAAAGTTAATGGAATAAAAGAAATTACATTTCCTCAGAGGAAAACCACATCTATTTACATTAAAGGATTGGATTTTTCATATTTAATAGAGTAGTGCTATTTTCCCCATATTTGCTTTTCTTACTTCCTGTGTTTATTTACTCATAACTTTTCTCATTCACAAAGAATTTTACTACAGGAAAGTGTAAATCCAGGGGCCAGACTTATGCATAGAGATGCATGTCTTAGGTGTTACATGATGGAAAATTATTGCTGGACTCTTATTTTAGTAGACCAGGCCATTGACATCTCTGAATGAAAGACACCTGAAATATAGTTCATTTGCATACCATGCTCCACCTCCATCGGTCACTTTCATAACTGGCTATTCATACAATTTGTTATTAATTATTATTACATGACATGGTTTGATAGGACACATGAAAGCAATAATACACACATAGGTGTTTGTATTACTCAGATTAATGCAACAAAATCTCTGGATGCTGCCTTCTCATATATTAATATTTAGGAGCCTTCCAATTAATTCCTCATTACACTGACCAAGCCTGTACTGGAGGGGGATGTGGAAATGAGAGCTCTCATTCAATGTTCTTGGTAATGTAAGTTGGGACAAGTACATTGACGATCAACTCAGTGGTTTTTACTAGAGATGAAGAACTTCATATCCCATAAACGGGCAATTTCGATCTTCCACTTAGAACTCCAAAATACAAGTCCTCATGTGCATGACAACCATGGCTTCCACCATGGAAACTACATCACTGTCCATAAAGGACAATGACACAGCTTGTGTTCATTAGTTTCATAAAATGGAAGAGCATGCAATGTTTTAATGGAATTGTATACATTGCGATGAATTTTTTTAAAAAAAACATAATTTTAAGTGAATAAAATGTGCTTCAGATTCCATTTAAAATAACACTTATATAAATTAAGGAACAAATTTCTGGGCTGGGGTTGTGGCTCAGCAGTAGAGTGTTCTCCTAGCATGTTCCAGGCCCTACTCAGCAGTAGAGTGCTCTCCTAGCATGTCCTCAGCACCACATAAAAATAAATAAATAAACAAAATAAAGGTATTATGTACAACTAAAAAATAAATATAAAAAAAGAGAAACAAATTTCTCTCATTCATACATATTTGCATATGTACCTATGTATATGTATAAATAAATATGTATTTATGTTGTGTGTGTAATTTTTAGGAACACATAAAATCGGAGGCAGAAGAACCATAAACCTAGTGAAGTATTCCTAAAACTGGCTCATCTGGTTCTTGTTCTGCCCCCACCTGTAGGCTTACATCCTGCTTCATTTTCCCAGATGCTACCAAGAGCATATCAGTGTTTTTGTTTTGTTTTGTAACAGGTAGCATTGCTTTTCTATTACTATACAGATTTAAACAAATTGCAATCATTCCCCTGCAACTGAAAGAGACTATTTAGATAAACCTCTCTGCCATGAAAATGTAAAGTCAAATATCTAACCATTAAACTATGGGTAAAATTCTGAACAACGGTGCACTATTGAATGGAAAACCCTCCAGAAACAGTTATGATATGTGCTGGAAAACTGCCACAAGCAGGGGATAACTTTCTAAGAATTATGTTGCAATTTTTTCTC